CCAGTTGGGTTTAGATCCGGGGAACATGATGGTCCAAAAGATTGATGTTATTGTCTTGGACGAACTCCTTTGTCAGGCGGGCATTGTGAACTGCAGCATTGTCCTGTTGAAAAACCCAATCATTACCACACAGACGAGGACCCTCAGTCATGAGGGATGCCCTCTGCAACATCTCCACATAGCCAGCTGCTGTTTGACCCCCTGCACAACCTGAAGCTCCACTGTTCCATTGAAGGAAAAAGACCCCAGATCATGATGAAGCCCCCACCACTGTGCCGTGTAGAAAACATCTCAGGTGATCTTGTCATGCCAGTAACGTTGAATCAAGACTGTCAAGGTTAAATTTTTTCTCATCAGAGAATAAAACTTTCTTTCAGCTTTCAGTGTCCCATGTTTGGTGGTCTTCTGCAACAGGTAATTTTGTGATGTTGAAGGAGACAATGTATTTGAAGATGTTTTGTTTTTAAAACCCTTTTCTCACAGATGCCATCTGATGGTTATGGAACTGTAGTTGGTACCAGTGACACGCTTAATATGGGTAAGAAGCTTAAAATCTTGGAAAAGCCTCCATCTCAGACAAGTTAAAGGGAGCGCTGCACTGTAATTTAGGGAATAGGTTTGTGGAATAATCTTGACACTAACAGAAACTTCCACTATAATTTATGTTTAAAAAGATTACTAAATTAAGCCATGTTTATTTAAGCTATAATGATTCCTTATAGTTTTATTATTATTTTTGGATTTCTACCTCAAATATGGAAATTGTTCACATTTCAGTTTTTTAAAGTTGTTTTTTTTAACAAGGGGCAGATACATATTTTTTCTTCTTTCGGCACCCTTTTCATTCAATAACTGATTAAATTTTTTAATGGTCTTTTTGATTTTAAGAATGAAATAAACATAAATAATTATGTCCAAGGCAGTGTTGCCAGACTGAGCTTCTTTTGAAGACGTTGGGCTGGAAAAAACAGCTTTGGGTGGGTTGTTAAAATGTGGGCTGGTTTTTACCACATTTGGCAGGTTTTTAAAAAGTATTCATAAGGAAATTATATTAAAATATCAAGTGTTACTACAACAAAATGGTATTGGTTAATATCAACTGGAATAAGAGAGGACACAGGGTTTCTGAAATTCTGAGGACCTACCCCTTCCTCCTGCTAAACAGTCTAGGACTATTAGTTGACTTTAGTTTTGCATATGCCTGCAGCAGACACCTTTACTCCCCCCATCTGTTTCTTTCCAAGTTTTCATTCTAAACATGAGTGTCACACAGTTTTTTCAGCGCTTTAGAAAATATAAATAATGATTCTGTGCAGATGTGTGCTAATGGTGTATTCTTAATTCTTAATTGTTTGTGGTGGCATGCCCATTCAAAACATTACAAACAAGACCAACATTTGGTAATTTTCAAAGTCTAAAATATGACAGATTATATTACAATAGTGATCATGAAATGGTCGTCTTCCAAAAAGTTGTATTTTTTAAGTGAGGCTCGATAGGTTTTAATGTTTTCTGATGCATGCAACCAGGGTATAAAACAACATTCAGAGCACATCGTTGCATGCTTACTATTTTAGCTGACTACAAAGTGAAAAGATTTAATGACAAAAAATTGCCACGTTGAATTCTTACAATAATACCTGTTTGGATATGTTGCCTAAATGTATGATTTGAGTCAAAAATCACCAGGCACGTTGTTTTTATATACTAAAACGTGTTTCATAAGTGTTTAAAACATTTATTTGTAGCTTGAATGTAAAAGGAACCACAAAATATAAAGATAACATTATTACTCAAGGTTTTACCAATAAGTGTCACATTAATCTGTGAAATAACTTCAGTCTTGATGAATCCATACAGTATAGTGACAGAGAATTTGGTAGATATGGTCAGGAAGAATCCCTTACAGCAGGGGTCACCAAACTTTTTGAGACTGAGAGCTACTTTTGGGGTACTGAGTAACACGAAGGGTTACTTCTTCGATACAAACATAAATTGGCATGACTCACCTTTATATATATATTATAGTATTATTA